AAAATATACGGCATGCAAATTTCCGGTGATATTTCAAATACTGATGCATATTTCAATGGCCAAAGTAAAGTGTTGGACCTCGCCATTGTGTATGAGAACGGTCAATAACGATTTGTCTTTGCCTACACGACATGTCTAAATGTACTATCTGTTCAAGCTACAATGTAGTACTACCAATTTCTCCGGTGTGCTGTTCGATACTTCTGCAATAGTTAACACATGACTTGCTTACTAGTATATATTCTTATTCTCTGAATGACTTTGAAGGTTACTATTGATGTCCGCGGTATATTTAAAAATCTAATCACTTTATCATAAACGAAGAGCTTTTCAGTTACGTCCTTTTCACAACACTGACTGCAGGTCAGGTCAACGACTTTGGAACACATAGGTACACATATTAATATTGCTTCATGTTAGGATAGATCATATCTTCCTTTCAAAATGTCAGCTTCTGGTTTAGGTTTGCGTTTTACTCTGCAATGTAATGAATATATCTAAAGATATTGCCAATCAAAATTGATACTTATGCAAACTATCAATTTCTGAGGGGCAGTGTTTCAAGCGTTTGTTTGATTCTAGCTATGGGTACAATGGGTTAGTCCGAAATGGTGTTATCTCCACACCTCCGACCCCTTCATACATCGCCAACTAACTATATATACATATCTCCATATTATGCATTCATAATCAATATTATTCCCATTCCTTGTTTCCTAGTACCACATTACCAAGTGTAATGATATATGGTCCCTGAATTGGCATTGGGTCCACATCTGGATGGTTCAACTTAGCAGCCTACACACATGATCTGAATATCGGCATAGATGATGTGTGGATGTGCAGGTGGCTGCTGTGATTTGACTTTAAAGAGTGCATAATGAAATTCTAAACGACCCAAATTTCGAGAAACTTTAAATGTTTTCATCAAAATATATTTTTCTTATCGTGTCAGTTAATACTTGAAATAATTTTTAATACGTTGTGCGTTAGTTTGCTTCCATTAACTTTTCAATAAATATTTATCAAATGATAATATCTATTGAGCTCAAGATCAATTTAATCTGCTCCTGTGTCTCTGCTCGTATTAAAGATGAAGATTAAAGTGGGAAATATTGCAAGTAGACAAAAATATGATTACACAACAAAGTACTAGAATCTGTACTTTACTGGGGAAATGTAATCCCAAATATAGCATATGTTACATTTGGCCACTTCCTAAATGACATTGTGTAGGAATAGCTTTCAGCCGTGCCAATGTACACTTACAGTACAACCAGAAATTATTGAGAATTTAAAGATTGTTTTGTTTAAAATATTTTTCACTCATTACTCACGTATTAAATGTGAATATTAGCAGAACAATAACTCCAGATTCAGAGACAGGTGAACAGTTAGTATTTTGTCAAGTCACCATGGGCAGCAATGCAGGCTTCAATGCGGCGGGGAATACTACTGATCAAAGAAGTTAGAAAGTCGTGGTCCATGCTGTCCCAATATCGGACCACCTCTTCTTTCATTTCAGCAATATCTGTCAGATATTTCTTATTGACACTTTCCTTCATAAGTCCCCAAACATTTTCTACTGGATTGAGGTCAGGGCTATAGCTTGGCCAATCTAATAATGTCATATTTTGGGTCCGAAACCAGGCCTTTGAATGCTTTGAATGATGTTTTGGGTCGTTGTCCTTCTGGAAAATCCAAAAACTTCCATAGAACACGTGAGCAGATGGAACTATATGTCCCTCGAGAGTATCTGTGTACCGCTCACTGTTCATATTCTCTTCAAATACACAAAGGGGCGTTGCCCCTAGCACAGATATGCCACCCACACGTTAAATTTCGGACTGTACTTTGGGCGCTGATACAAAGGTTTTTCAGTTTGTTTGGTCCAGAATTTCAGTGTATTAGGAAACAGCCACCCAGAACTTTCATCTGAGAAAATCACATTGTCCCAGTTAAAATTTCTATGCTGTAAGCACCAGTTCAACCTTCGCTCCTTTTGTTCCGGTTTCATGGTCGGTGATGGAATTCCTCGACTTTTCTGCCAACCCATTGCATGCAGCTCAGTTCTAATTGTCTCCTTACAGACAGCCACAGTTCCTCTATCAATCATATCCAGCCTTAAGTTTTCTAAACTCCTTCGTTTGTTTTCAGAAACCCGAATACCAAGCCGCCTCCTGTCACCGACAGTCAATTTTCTAGGCCTACCTGCGCCTTCCTGGTGCTCAATGCCATATTCAATTGCAATATTTTTCAAAACACGATAAACTGTGGACAAAGGGATGCCTGTTCTACTTGAAATCACTTTAGCTGATCTGATGTCCTTGTTATAAAACTCTAAAATCAACTTCCTCTTCTCTAAATCATCCATACTGAGGATCACTGAAAATGTCGTCTGCTAGCAAGTAAACAAAGGGGGATAACTCTTCGCAAACTAATGAAAAACGATTAACGGAGTTGTCTCTCTTGAATGAAACCAAGAACTTGATAGCTGGTCAAGGTTGTTTATAATAGAAATCCAATTAAACATATTCCTAAAATTCTCAATAATTTCTGGTCATACTATATCAGAGGGGTACACAAAGTCCGCAGTCTAGACTACCAGTTGTCCGACTTCTATTTTTGTGGGAGTCGCGGTGACTGAGCGGGTTAGGCGGCTAACTTTGAGTGCTGGGGATTAGGTGCCTGACTCTGAGGGTGTGGGTTCGAATCCCGGATGGGACTCAACCCAACAAAGTATTAGAATTGGTACTTTACTCAAAAGTGTAATCCCAGATAAAACTTATGTTAGACAAAAATAGTCACAGATTTGATTTCGCTTTGCAATGAAGTAGTTTTCCATGTTATTCATTTGGAAAATTTGAATGTAATGTGAACAGGAATGTAAAACTTCAATGCACAACGTTACAATGCTACTTAGCTATATGTCCGATCACAAAATCTGATAGATATTATGTTGTAGGGAAATCAAAAACATCACCCAATTGTGCATCTGAATATTTCTCAGTGCCGATTCAGCAAATCGTTAAATGTTGGATCCACTTTCCTAAAAACAAAAGCCAGCAAATGATGACATAATACGCACATGGCAAACATGTGATATAGACTAAGGTAATAATTGATTCCTCATAACAGATTTGTTTACATACATCGGATCTATAGGATATACATAATTATACAGTTTCATATAGTTCACCAAAATATGCCTAAAAGAGGGAGATTACAACTGTTAAGTAGGTCACGTTGTTCAAAATGTTAAAAAATGTCATAAAAATAGCTTCATTTGGAATCTCTTATATATACCGCAAAATATCGTTATTCTTGACATTGCTTTATCTGTAACACTTGCTTGTGTGAAGTCGAGTGGGTGTATAACACACTATTTTCTCTTAAGCCTTTAAAGATGTTGAAATACTGACACGTTGTAAAACTAATCTTTGGCAGTATGTGTGATGGTAATTTACGATGAAAGAGCGTAATTGAAGGTAACGTACATAAGATCGGGACTTACACCACACGAGACAGTGAATCCCTTAAGGGAAAGCCATTATTTTTCAATCATAAAAGGATGGATTCGGTCTTAAGGAGGATGACTCTCAGTACATCACTGCATGACATGTCATATAATTTGAACACCTACCTTAATCGCTCAGTTATTGGTGCATTTCATGATCATGCAATTCTACTACTAATCACTTACTAATGATGTCTCCGATGTGGCAACACACCTAATAATTTCCCAGTTATCGATAAATCAATGTCTATTTGGGTTATTCTGTTACATACATAGTGATATCGAAACTTATCTATATATGTCATATTGTGGTATTCTATTACATACGCAACGATCTCGCAGTTATCGACTTTTGCCATGTTATGTTACTCGAGTACTTACTTAATGACCTCCCAGTGATAGCACCCGTGAAGATCCGGGTTAGAATTGGTCTTTAGTAGCCCATGCTTGTAAAAAGCGACTAACGGGATCGGGTGGTCAGGCTCGCTGACACGTCATCGTATCCAAATTGCGTAGATCCATGCTCATGCTGTTGATCACTGGAGTGTCTGGTCCAGACTCTATTATTTACAGACCGCCCCTCCATCAGCAACTGAGGGAACTTCACAAAGAACAAGACAATATTCCGAGTCATTGCCGTTTTACTAGTGGATAGGTCTTTAAACAATAACACCTCACATTATCGACTAGAGAGTTCTTTGAAACGTTTAGCCGACTGCAATGGGAAAAGGATTCTGCGCGTTGAAATTTGCAAACAAAGGAATTAGAATTGTTTTAGGAACCAAAGAATGTCTAAAATACCCAGACATATATCTCCACTTAGAGAAACCACGCACACTCTCATGTTCCTTTTCAAGCACAATTGTTCAATTACAGGAACGTGTTGGACGTGGCAGATTATGATCTAAACTCAACTGTTTGTGGCTACCGAAGTTCATCAAAAATGCTTTCAAGAAGATGACATTACACTCTTACACCTAAAACATAGCCGCATGGGCTGATTTTAATATATTTCTAGAGTGTTCAGTCAAACAATGCCATGGTAACTGAACTGCTGTGCTTCGCTGTAATACGCTGGAAACCAAGGTTCGAATTATGTTTCGCTCCGATTATCATTCGTGGATAGTTTGTACCATACCCGTGCTCCAGTGCTTCACCAAAGCAGTAACCGTCTTACATCTGTATCATTTCGGGCACTCCTCCCATGTTAAGCTCGCTGGAATGGACTACTCTTTAGAGAGGGTAGGGTCAAGGTAATGGACATGAACATGAGAACTGACAATGCACTTGTCGGTGTCCATTGGCTTACGAACTCACTGGTGAACGCCCACATGCCGGGCCTCAGATAAGCCTGTGTCCTTCGAAATTCAATTCAGTTGATAAACACCGAGGATAACCAATCTGATCCTCATTAATGTTCATGGAATATGCGCATATAATTAACTATTAAGAATCATTGTTGTTATTCAAGTCACTATCTCCAGATATTGTTGCTGGGTCATTGAAATGTTCAGGTTTAACTCTGGTATCAACACGTCATATGGATGTTCATGTCACAGGAAATAATTTGCAAATGGACATGTACTTTACATAATATAGCTGTGCTGATTAAATGTGTTAAAATCAAATTTCATTAACGTATACAACCTGACGTAAACGCATTAGCGGATAACAGTCATGACCTTTACGATCCAAGAAATCTATTTTAAAGCAGATTAAAGATTGTATTGTAAAGATTACATGTTTAAAAAATAATACTAGTAATTCACATTAAATTCCCCTGAATGCAACAAGGGATTAATCTGCAATACACACGCCTGCTTCTCCTAATAATTCCTTTCCAGCATTTAAAGTTCGTGAATACAAACAGCCTCTGTCCAAGTTCTAAAATCGGATTACAGTCCTCGATGATAAAAATATCAATATTCAATTTGATTCTGGATAAAAATATTACAATCACATTCATCATTTCATTTCCAGGAATGAAGTTTTGAGAAAATTCTAATGATTTGAACAATTTGTAATACGACTGCATTTTCATGTAAACAACCACACACTGCAACTCATTACGGAGGCGCATGTAACTAGACTAGAATTAGAATGAAACTAGCGTTGTTGGTGTAGGTTCAGTTGAAATATTGTCCTGCCTTTGTAGTTACGACGAACTGATACATATAGATATCATATCTCCGCGACGCTGTGTTAGATTACCTTTGCAATGTACATGGGCATGAACTCACAAACGATGACATCTTCAGCCTGTATCTCCAATTCCGCAATTATCTGATATCCGTGCAGTTCATATGATCATTGCACTGGCATGTGCATAATTTTATGTATCTTCTATTTTTAAATTATTATAGATATCTTGTAGTTTGTATTCATAACCTCGATTCCCGTGAAGATCCGGGTTAGAATTGATCTTCAGTAACCCATGCTTATCGAAGGAGGCGACTAACGGGATCGGGTGATCAGGCTTGCTGACCTGGTTGACGCATGTCATCGTATCGGAATTGCGTAGAACGATGTTCATGCTGTTGATCATGAACTCGTCACTGTACCATCTTATATGTACACTTCATGATCTCGTCACTATATCATCTTACATGTACACTTCACGATCTCGTCACTATACCATCTTACATGTACACTTCACGATCTCGTCACTATACCATCTTACATGTACACTTCATGATCTCGTCACTATATCATCTTTCATGTACACTTCATGATCTCGTCACTATACCATCTTACATGTACACTTCATGATCTCGTCACTATATCATCTTTCATGTACACTTCATGATCTCGTCACTATACCATCTTATATGTACACTTCATGATCTCGTCACTATACCATCTTACATGTACACTTCACGATCTCGTCACTATACCATCTTACATGTACACTTCATGATCTCGTCACTATACCATCTTAAATGTACACTTCATGATCTCGTCACTATACCATCTTATATGTACACTTCATGATCTCGTCACTATATCATCTTTCATGTACACTTCATGATCTCGTCACTATACCATCTTACATGTACACTTCATGATCTCGTCACTATACCATCTTACATGTACACTTCATGATCTCGTCACTATATCATCTTTCATGTACACTTCATAACCTCGTCACTATACACCCGTAAAGATTCGGGTTAGAATTGGTATTCAACATTCCACGCTTGTCGTAAGAGGCGACTAAAGGGATTGGGTGGTCAGGCTCGTTGACTTGGTACACACATATCATCGTATCCCAATTGAGTAGATCGATGTTCATGTTGTTGATCACTGGATTGTCTAGTTCATTCTCTATTATTGACAGATCGCCACCATATAGCTGGAATATTGCTGTGTGGCGTAAAACTAAACTCACTCACTCACTTGTCACTATGCAATCTTACATGTATAGTGCCACCTTACGTGCACACTTCATAACCTCGTGATAAGCAGAGTATCAGTCAGCAATTGAGTGATGTTGTGATATGTAACCAACGTGGTCATTACATAGATGTCAGATTGTTGACAAAGATAATATGGGCGTTCTGTTAATCTGTACCGGTAAGCATCTGATGCTATAGCCTCCTTACATGCCTACACTCCGGCTTCTACGTCAGTGACTTGCATTGTTACACCATGTACAATCCGACTGGGCGTGAGATATGAACAGCCTCCACATTAACGGAAGCTTGTGACAATGTCTAACATACCAGGCCCATCCATTACTGTAGCAACACTTATAATCAGCGAGCAGTACAAAACACGGAAATAAATCTTACAACTATATTTAGAAGTGCTGTTGTGTTAAATGCGAACCAATCTGCAATTAGAGTGACCAGTTATACCTGGTGTCCATTCTGTCACCAGTAGTGGATACATGTAACTATGGCAACGCTATCGTAGCCATGGCATTGAAATATGGTATATAATTACCGTTATACTTTATTTGGGAAAAGCTATATTTCCGATAAAATTCTGATAAACCTAACCACCCCCTGCAAACTCTTGCCTCTCGCATTTAACCTTTCTTTTGTGAGAAATTGTGGTATTTTGATATGCATTGTGTGTATAATAATACCCGGTCGACGTCATGCGACGTCACGCGACTGCCGAGGCCCGTCTGTGGAGTGTGTCTTGTTTGTGATCGCTTTTAACTGCAGGGGCCCAGTGCCAAGGCTATTTGAAGAACTTTCAATCCGATAGTACGCCTACACGCCTATACACTTATCATCTGAATGCTTCTTTGTGTCAAATAACATTTTATTACCCGTATGGTGAAATATACCCAGTGTCATATATATCATATGTGGACATGTGCACATATCACTTTTGCCTAGCAACCATTGTTTCTGCATTTCGCCGTCTGTGACGTCATTAAACAATTGAACGTGACGTCAATAAAGAGGGACGTCACAGTTGCTTACCGTGTTTTCCTGCACAGAAATACATGAAGAAAATGGATGACAAAGAAATTATTACGCTCGTGCAAAATTATGTATTTCACACTCGTTCCATGTACATCGTATGACACACTTGCTCGTGTAATAATCTTTCTATATACTAGCTGAAACATAGCTGAATGTCATAGAATTCAGTCAGCTATGATAACGTTGTGTTATCACGTCCATTGCATACAAAGTTATATATATAAAGAGGGAAGGGACAGAAACACCTACTCACTGGTTGTAGTTTTATATTTTCCAGAAACAGAAACAGTTCCTGAAAACGTTAATCAGTTTCACGACAAAGAATTTTTAATATTAAATTGGCATAAGCACAAATATTTATGCATAACAAAGATGATAATGTGTTCAGGCGGCTCAACTGGCGACTGCACCTTCAGTCACCGCTAATTCCAAGTGCAGCCTAAAAACATCCTGTAAATGTAGCTGACTTAATCTTTGTTCAGCATGGTTCCTTGGAGATTACATGAGGTGGTGAATAATTGGAAGGAATACATTGTGTAATACAGGAACGTCTGACAACGCCGTTGGTTTTCGGTGCGGTTACCTCTGTTTTTGGTATAAACAGAAACATCGGCATAGACGTTCCTAGGTCTGGGCGACCTCATGTAACCTCAGCAGGCGAAGACAATGACCTGCTCCGTAGGATAAGGCGACAACTATTTAGCACCTGTTGGAAGGAGAACTGAATGTGTCACGGGAAAAATGCCCTGACATCATACTTTACATGATTCACAATGCTATGACGTCAAAAACCTGATGACGTCACTCTGCTATGACATCGCTGCACTGCAAGTCTAATGGCAGTACCGTGCTCAGAGATGTACTACATATTTCATTGAAAACTAATGAAGAGTGATTTTTTTTTGATAAATAGAATCTCAACCTCGTGTCTTCTGATATCAAATATATCAATACTCGTTGATATAAGCATAAAAAAATCCTATGCAAGCCTCGGATATCTGTAACTTTATCAACTAGTGGATATATATTTGATATCAAAAGACACTCAGGTGGGATTCTATGCATTGCAAAAATTATATTTGATACTTAATAAGGTGGGCTGCGTTATGTATCACTCGATATCCCTTTTAACGTATTACAGTTTACAAAAAACAATACAACATACGCTTGGCCACAAAGCTTCAGCTTGACGTTGTTAAAGTAATTCATCAGTCATCTTGGGAACTTCGTGCACTCAGCGGTGTTATGGAACACCTTAACAACAATGTAAAATAATTCGGCTAAGAGCTGTGATGTAATACATCAAAAAACTATTTCATCAAACCACAAGAACTGCCAATGATGCAGTCATTTCATACAGCTTTCTCTCGCTATATAATAAACAGATTACACTGAAACCTTTGAAGAAGACGTCTTATTTTATTAAACGCATTACCAGCGAAATACGCTTCTATTTCAGCTTGGTTTAGCTTTTTCGATTTAATTGTTGTATCTAATAACTCTATACACATAGATACATCGTATTTCTTGTGCTTCCTGCATGATAATACTGGGTTACTTTAGATATCTATAAGTTGCTTGCATTGCCTAATCCGGTGATCGTTGTGTAGTAGTGTTTCCCATTAACGTCCCACACAAGGTCATTCATCGTCTTGACGGTAGCTCTATTGTGGGTGTCTAGCTGCAACCATTGTGGCGTTAAGAATACCATGCTGTTGCCATGGCAAAACACTACCAGTGAAATACAAACCTACCAATACGTATCATGGTTAATTTGATTAATAGTGGTGAACTGGGTGTGACAATCATATAAATGCAACGATCCGAGGTTCGATTATTTACTGGGCGCTGTGATACATATCAAACTACGTTTACGTCGAACCTCCTAAACCAAAGCTCCGAATCGCTTACAAAAAATCACACAGATGCACATCGAGGTGAAGATATTCCCCTTAAAAATCTCTAGGCTCTAGGCCCAATAGCAAAGGGGAGATAATTCACAATTAATTCCAAAATTTCAAAGTTTGACAGAAAATATCTTAAGAACTAATTGTTCCAACACTTCCAAATCTCTTGTACAGATGCACAAATGAATTCCCAACAATTTTGCCTGACGGGTCAAGTACGATTTGGCAGTTATTTTTGTTTTCAGTTTTTGGCCATGTTTTTCAGCAGTTTTCTCAGTATTTTGCTCCCAAAATGTGCTGAGCTCGAACCATCAGCTCTAGACATTACAGAACACAAATGGTTTTGACCGTAGACCGAAGAACAACGGATATACCGCCTTTTACAGAGGGAACTATTTCTTCTCCAGAACTTCTTAAGAAGGTACCTGACCCCCGCGACCCCGGCTGTATTTGGAAGATCCGCTAACCTGTTAAAAACGTGTTCTGGCTCCGTTTTGGACGATGATTTCTAGCCCTCAAATACAATTCAAACTTCCGTAACTCTCACACCAATAGTCTACTTTCGTCCAAAATGTACCTGTACAAGTGGGCTATTAGTGTCGATTATAACTACTGATTGCAGTGATGTATCTCCAAAGACAACAGAGGGACAAGTGAAATTATATTTTCCACACTTTAGTTGCTATCTTCATCGGTTCTCTAGAGAACACAATGAAAGTTAGCCGTATGTATCTCAAACGTTAGCTGATCGGTTTCTGTTCTACGGTTCATGTGAAAAGTATCACCGTTTGGTACATGTCTTCTTTATGATTGTTAGAGGTAATTAAGATAGATGTTTGAACAAAGGGTTCTTCTGTTTTGAGATTCATGATACCCAAGCGATATTTTTTATATCTAAGAAAAAAGGTTTTGTGATGAATTTATCGAAACTTAAAGACCTTCCAGTACTTCCAGTCGAAGAACATTCGACTAGCAATGGAATGATTCATATTAACTAAAACTATTACTACTTTCATCAGTTATGTGACAGACACAATAGGCTAGATAGAACTAAAGCCAAGGAGGCTACATCGGTGCTTGCAACTATATTTTATAAATATTGTTTATAAACCGTTCTTTTTTGTAAAATATGTTTATTTCAGAGACAAGATGTTACTCTATTTCAATTGTTAAGCGCAGATTTGATTTGGTTTAGTCCGGCAGTTTTCAGTTTTCCTTCCGGCAAAATGTCAAACGTGTCCGGTTACTGTTGACGGGAAGCCATAGGTTCTAGCTGTCGTTGGTAGTTTTTCTGTATGACCTCAAACATCTTATGATTTTGCACAGATGCGGTTTGGAGCCGTCCAGATACGGTTCTGTTACGGTACAGTTAAAGTTCTGTTACGGTACAGTTAGGGTTCTGTTGTAGTACAGTTAGGGTTCTGTTGCAGTACAGTTAGGGTTCTGTTGCAGTACAGTTAGGGTTCTGTTGCAGTACAGTTAGGGTTCTGTTGTAGTACAGTTAGGGTTCTGTTGTAGTACAGTTAGAATTCTGTAACGGTACAGTTAGGGTTCTGTTGATAGATACATATCAAACTACGTTTACGTCGAACCGATGGATATTACGAACTTTCTGGGTATTTTTTTAAAGTCCTGTCCTAACTGAACGTTAAAATGTTCCTTATATGAGGCAGCTGACAGTTCTGGAGGTGCAAGCGTCATGTTACCAGCAGGATTTTCAGGAAGTGCCGCACTGTATTTCACTTTGTCAGTGGTAGCTTGATAGCGATGAAATTGTGACTTTAACAGAAATTCCAATCACCTTATCATGTGGTGGCACGGTCGGAACGATCATTTCAATGTGTTGCCACGGCCACAATGTTAATCGGATTTTAGCCATACTGAACGTTTGGGATGGTCTTTTTGGCCACCGTTCATAAGACGTGCACTTTCGCAAATAAACTGCCAACAGCACCAACTGGTTCAATCTGACGAAACATTCCAGTCAGGGTGCAATACTTTGAGTCAAACACACACAACCTACTTAACGTTTGGATGTAGGTCAAATCAGACTTGCCTTGTTCATCGTGATATGCCTGGGGTAGCCTTGTGGTCAAAGCGTTCGC